GGCTTCGGGGTCAGGTGACCGGGTCCAGGATGGTCTAGAGTTTAGCTTCATAAATAAGGTGTGGGGGCGGAGTTTGTCTTCTGGTTTGGGTATTGGATCTGCAGTAGCGGTCTTAATTGTATGTTGGTATCAGTACTACCCCTAAAAAACCCTGAGGCCTTAAAATAAACCCCACAAACCCGAAATCCTCCAGGCATGCCTTGCGCTTATATCTTCGTAGCACAAGGGTTTAGTGTCTAGGGCGGGTGCCCGGGTTTAAGGGTGTCGGGCTTGAGGGGTTTGCGTTGTCGGGCATGACGTTCTTGTCTAAGGTGTAGATTTGGTTTGTGGGCCTGGTGTAGATTCTCTATAGGTAACATGGTACCGAAAGACTGGGGATAACATAGGACCGGCGTGCTGAGGCAGAGTATCAGATGTGAAGCCGGATAATGGACGCCGGGGCCTCGCTGTGTCAATCTTACCATGCGGTGGAGGGTTTGAAGAGGCTCCTTCAGTTGGACTAGGAAGACAAGGTTACACGATTATTATTATTTTATTTCCAAATTCTGTTTCTATATGTTCCCAAAGAAACAAAATATATTTCTGAGCGAAATATATTTGTTGCGCAAAGTGAGACTCCAGTCAATGTATGTGTCATCGTTGAATATATATAATTCAATGAAACATGCAGCGCCCACTCTCTCTTTTTTAAAGGTCTGGCGAAAGCCGTCGCTCGGGGAAATTCCGAGTAGGTCGAAACGAAGTGAAAGGTTCCCCTCATCGAGCATCCGTGATGCTCCGCATGATGTACATACAGCACATCACGCAATGTGCATTCCAATGCACGCATCGGATAGTCAGCAATTGACTCATCCCCATGGAACCAATGCAGACTTTGCGATGCTCAGCGCATCCACTTCGAAACGCTGACCAAGGCTTTCGTCAGATATTCCTCGAGAGGGATCGTCTGCTATGTTCGATGCGGTATTCACGCGCTCAAACCAAGGTATGCAGCTCGCGGCGTCGATGGCATCATGAGTGGCATCTACAATGCGCATCCCGACTGAGTTGTCTGATGCTCCTTTGATCATGCAGGCACGAGTGCCCTCGTTGTCCGAGAAGACGACAATGTTGCATCCCTTAAGGAGTCCCTTCCATACATGTATGCACATGAGTACTGCCAAACACTCGCACTCGAAGATGGGGTTCTTGCTCTCGGGGCCAACGAGAAGTCGTAGCTCATCAGAGGCCCACACGCTAAAATGCCCAACTTTCGTTCCATTGTCCGAGATAAGAACTCCTCCAAGACCGATGCGATCGTTGTCACAAGAAGCGTCCACATATACATGCCAAAGATGCAAGACGTTGGCACTCAGAGCCCTCGGGGGCCCTTCAAGAAATCTGTCCCTCAGGAACAGAAGTGCAGCCCTCAGATTGTCTCCGATGCTCGGGCTTCGTTCCGTAAGATGTTTGGACAGGATCTTGAATGCGATGCCAGCCTTCTTCCCAGCAACCTGGTTGGCGGCAAACTGCAGGCGGCCCCTCAGCCTCTCGCAGTCTTTCCTAGCCAGCACTCCTTTTTCGATGATAGAAGAAAGACTTTCTCTCAGCTCCTCGCGTCGAGTCGTCGTATTTCTCATGTAGAAGTTGCCGAGGTAGGATTCGCGCAAGTCAAACTCCAGGCCTAAGACTTTTGCCACGCCTCCGAAGATGGTAGGCTTGTCTGGAGACGTGTCCCAGCCAAGGATCTGAAAAAGCGATTCAGCACAAAGGTCAAAGAGCCGTGTAAGTGGCGGGACTTCGTTGCCGACAAAGTCGTCGTAATACACTGACCACATCAAAGCCAGCTGAATCGCCCCAATCGTCCAGATGCCAAGTGAAGTTCTGCAGAACGAGTGGACCGACGCACGAGCGCCGAAGGGCAACACGCACTGCTCGTAGATCTCCGCTTTCCCCGACCGGGGGTTGTACACCGAGAGATAAGCTTCCTCCACCGCCGAAGTGCTCAAAGGAAGATTCTTATACGCCTTGTGTAAGTCATAAGATTTCATCTCGAGCCCGCCGTGCCGTCGGCACTTTGGGTCGCGCTTGAGACGGTAGGCAATGGAAGCGGCGATTGCATCCGCCGTGTGCACAGTCACCGAGTCTTCGGCTGAAGTCGTTGAGTTAACCCCAGAGGCCTTGAAGTCATCTATAGGCCTACACTTGCCGCCCTGCCAAACGCCGAAGCGGCGCGAGAGGACAGCATTAGGATCTAGCGAAGCAGGATCGATGGGTCCTCGTAACCACCCCTTGGCGACCTCCTTGTCAGTGGCCGCCATGAGGGCCTCATCAAGTTCGGGGTCCCCGGAGCTTTTGGTGGCGAGAAGAGTTGCTTCCCTCATCACAGCTGCAGAGCTCCGGAGATCAGATACGGATAAGGAAGCAGGTGACAGCTTGGGGCGATATGCAGGATTCCTCGGGATCGCACCACTGAGGTCAAAACCCTTGGCGATGTCATTCGCTATCTCTAGGTCCTCGTGGCCACACTCCTCGAGCATGGTCCTAAAAAGGACCAGCCGCTTCCGCCCCAGGACACGTTTGCAATGTTGCGGCATTGAGTCACGCAACTCCTCTTCCTCGGCCTCCAGCTCACGGGCCTTGCTGATCCAATGCCGGAGCCTCTCGGTGCGTTGGGCTCCTATCTCATGAAGCGACATGTCAGCAAGACGGTCGATGGCCGCCTTGGAATGTGATGGCACACCGTCCAAGAGGTGACGGGGGTGCCCAGCTTTCAGTGCTTGCTCAATGAACTCCTGAGGTTTCCAAGGGATGCCTACGGCCACCTTGTGCATACGGCCACTTTCTGGCATGCTGCAGGACGGGATCCCAGGTGGTGGCTTAGTCAAGGAGCTGGGGCCTAAACCAGACTTACGGGTGGCTGCCTCGGGACCGGCTGTTGGGCAGCACTCTGGGGAGCTTCCAGGGAGGCCGAAACCAAGGTCTACAAGCTGTTTCTTCTGATCGTCAAGAAGTTTGTGGTGATCGCGTATCGCATAGGCAACAAGCGTGATCCTGGGTCCCCCACACCATGGAGCTTGACAGTGCCTACCACTCGGATCAAAGATTATTCGTCGGCCCTCGAAGTCAAGAACATTTCCCAAAAGCTCGGGGTGGCCAGGATCAGGACAAGCGACGGAGCCACTAGGTGATTCGATCCACACTCCCCCTTGCTCGAAGGAGGAAATCTTCAAGACCGCATTCGGTAGTCCTGGCTCATTGTTTCTATCGGTATGCACCTTGCCTGCGAGGTTCTTGCCCAGCATCAGGGAAGTGAAAGGATGGCCCGGGGCAACCCGGCGCACATACTCGCACAAGAGTTTGCTCACACTGGGGTGCGATGAGGTGTTGGAACGCAGGCCCACCTTGAAAGAAATTTCCCGGCAATCGGGTGTCGAAAATGAACTGGTGGTCGAACTTTTGTTGGCTTGATGCTTACGTTCTTATCTGGGTCCGGGTTTGCCGCTATAATAAAAACAATACCATCCAAAGTTGACCCCACCCCTGACAGGAGTGCAAACCCCTAAAAGGAGTGGAGGGGTGGCAGTGGGCGTGGGCACGAAACTCACAACCCTAAAAAGGTAAACTAGTTCAGAACAACAAGCTAAGCATGGAGCGGGTCGGGTGCGGCATCCCAAACCCAAGAAAGAGTGATGGTTCCAACGGTAAAAATTCAAAACAAATAAAATGTGCAGCGAGCGCGCATGACAATGGTAGAAGTGATGACGATGGTGCCTGCTGATGTCAAACCACTCGCTCTCTCACTTCCTCACTCCCACTTGCTCGCAGTCAAAAGCCTCGTCAGTCACCCACAGTCTCGTTTCCAGTCCCCCTCTCTCCCTGCCTCTCCCTGTCTCTCTGCCCCGCACTCTCTCTCACAGACTCTCGCTCTGAAAGCCCTTGGACTCAGGAGCAGTGTCTGTTTACCATGCGTTGAAATGGTGAACTTGCTCAAAGTCGGGACAGAACACAGCAAGTGATGCAACGGCTTTTTTGCAGGCCGCCGTGTGTGTTCAGTCGTGACGCACTCGAAGCTTCAGCTTTCCACCACAGCATCATCACCTTCACCGTCCGCATCACCCTCTTCTTCTCCTTCTCCTTCTTCCGGCTCCGGGGGAGGGTCGTCGCGTTCTGCGGGTGGCAGCTTCTTTCGCAACAAGGCTTTCATCATCGAAGCCTGAGATGTAAAAGCCATTACAGTTACAAACACTCAAAGGTTTAGGGTTTTAGGGTTTAGCCTCAAATCAAAAGCATACATCAACGAGCTATCGATTTATAGGGTTGGGGCTAGGCTTCGGGTTAGGGCACAGGTTATGCTGACAGGCTGAAAGACGTGTTTAGGGTTAACTACAAGGCTTCACCCCAAGTTCTTTACAAACCAGGTGATGGGTTTAGGCTTATGTCGCAACAAACTTGAGGGAGTGTAAGAGTTGGACCAAGCAACCACCATCTGCTTAACGCTCTCGAGACTGTCGCCCTTTCGAAGCGCAGCCACCGCCTCTACCTCAGGCTCTGGCTTTCCATCTCATACAACAACACTCACTGCAAGCCTACAAGCCCTAAGCCTGGCATTGGTACTTAGTTCTAAATCGTAACCAAGCATCGGCCACCTTTCGCGACTCCTCTTTGTCGTAGAAGACTCCCCCAACCTGGAGTTGGGATATTGAGGATCGCGATTTTGGTTGCTAGACTATCGTAATTACTGGTGATTTTGTTTAGATAGACTCGGTTCAAGTTGTGGGGCTTTTGTGGTGGCACCCTAACATTGAAGCATAACCTTCTAACCGAGAGGGTTTAGGATATAGGGTTAAAGGTTTTGGGTTACTTACTGAAGAACAAAAGCTTGGTAAATCAATCAACTGTCGAGGCACTCTGACCTTCTCTGATCCACCCACTTTGATGCCCCAGCTGTTGTTATTTTTGTAGTAGCTGGGGTTACAGATGCTCTCTCCTCCTGTCAAGCAGGTGATGTCAATTCATGGTTAAACAAGAATACAGAGCTCAAAAACAAGATGTCCTGAGCGTGCTTTCGCCTTTGCTTTTGCCTTTGCTTTCGACTTGGCTTTGGCCTTAGGCTCCTTCGTCGCTTTGCTTGGTGGCTTCTTGCTTTCCTTCGGCTTCGACTCGCTTGACTTCTCCTTTTTTGGGCTACCCTTCGGCTTCGACTCGCTTGACTTCTCCTCTTTTGGGCTACCCTTCGGCTTCGACGCGCTTGACTTCTCCTCTTTTGGGCTACCCTCCTGCTTCTCCTCCGTTGGGCTACCCTCCGGCTTCGACTCTGTTGACTTCTCCTTTTTGCTACCCTTCGGCTTCACTGTTGGCTTCTTCTTCTCTTTCGGGATCTTTTTCACGCTGGGCTTCTTGGCTGGCACGGGGATTTCCTCACTCTCACCTTCTTCCTCCGGACCCTCCTCTGGGGATCCTAAGTCCTCAGACAACTCCTCAGGCTCAAGAGGGTTCTCGGTTTCGGCTTCTGACTCAGCAACTTTTGGCTTCTTGCTGGAACTGGCACTGGGCTTCTTCTTGGAACTGGGCTTGAACGAAGTGGGCTTGAGCGCAGAAGGTCTTTTCTTCGGCTGTTCCGGCTCCTGCACGACAGGGGGCTTCGAAGATTACAGAGTCTAGGGTTTAAATTAAGGGTTTATGTGATCCGTCCTCCGAGCTCTCTGAGACTTCGGCGATGGAGGTAAACAAAGGCATACGAGGGCGGGCTTACGGTGGTTTCAGGAACTAAGCACGACACTGTACGATGATCCACTCGGCCTAATTTTACACACGACTGACTTGCGCCTGACACATTCCTTGAGCATGACATAAAGAATCACAGCTTGACCGACTCAAGGCTTGCATTCAGCACCCAACTCAGGACGTTTTGAGGCAAAGTGTGCTTGCCACTGCTGCTGCGTCTCGACGTGCCAACAACCTACTACAGGTTTTAACTGACTGGCGCCCAAGAAACACAATCAAGCACCTCGGAATTATTGTGTGTGTTATGCAACTGGTAACTGCAAGGCTCACGAAAGACTGAGCAATTGCAAGTCTGAGCAGGCTCAGTCAGACCTGTCAAAACCTAGGCTGTTCAGATGGCAACGCATGAACCAAAATCTCATCACGAAAGTTTGCACCAGCTTTGCGCTGGAACGGTGATTACGGCAGTCAGGTAGATCTTCGGCTTGATGGGCATCAGCCGTGGAGGGTTGGAAGAAATCATCACCTGGCCAGGAATAGATTAGAAATCAGTAAACATCTGACATCAAAGTCAAATCTATCAAACAGAACCCAGACACGGGATCATAGCAGGCAGCCTCCCAGCAGATCTTGGCTCGCTTGTTGTTGATGACCTGATTGTAGTTGCCGTTGTAGGCGGCACCCAGGACGGCGCCCTTGACGGAACTCTTATCGGTATCACCATCGAGCGGGGTCGGCTTGAACACGCTGGTTTTCGAAGAAACCAGCCCCGAGATGTTGTACCTGAACACCACGGGCTGCGGCTCGTTGTCGCCTTCCTGCACACATCAAATCTAAACGAACACGGAGTCCAATGCTTGCGGGTCAGCACAATTGCTGACAAGTCACCGGCGGTGCAAGCTTGGCTGCGATGAGGTGGCTCTCAATGTCCACGTGGGCCAGCCCGTTGTCCACAGCAGCTTGCCGCAGAACTTCGCACAAAGGAACGAGCTTTTTGTCCACCACGACCAGCTCCCGGTCGTCTGTAATCCGAAATGCAACGCCGCTCGGCTCTTCTGCCACATTGACTCGGTTGAGAAACCAGGGACCGGGGTTGCGCTGTTGTGAGTAATAGTGGAAGTGGTAGTGGTAAGGTAGTGGTAGTGGTAGTGGTAGTGGTAAGGTAGTGGTAGTGGTAGCGGTAGTGGTAGCGGTAGTGGTCGTGGTAGTGGTGCTATTGGTAGTGGTAGTGGTAGTGGCAGTGGGAGTGGTAGTGGTAGTGGTGGCGGCGGTAGTGGTGGTGGTAATGGTAGTGGTGGTGGATGTAGTAGTGGTAGTAGTTGTGGTAGTGGCGGCGCTGGTGCTGGGAGCGGTAGCGGTATATAGTGGTATGGTGGTTTAGTCTAGTGGTTTAATGGTCTAGTGGTCTAGTGGTATAATAATAGTGGTGTAGTGGTTGTACTAGCAGTGGCAGGAAGACAAGGACAGGAGGAGTTACAGCTGCAATAAAAAATCGCTTACTATGACTGCTGCTACTTCTAGCAGTAGTCAGACTTCCACGGTAACGGTGGAATACGCAAGGCAATAAGGTTTCCGGTCAAGGTTTGGATGTGTTGAAACTGACTGACTGACGACGAGCATCTGACAATCATCTCCTTGTAGCTTCCCGTTCCAAAGCCACAAAGTTCACAAGGGCCAGTTTGCAGCTCCGAGTCAGTGAGATTTCCAACCCACATCTCGTACTTCTCCGTGATCATGACAGCCAGCTTGCCGGCCTTCGGAACTGTGGTGCCAAGCCTCGGGAAATTGAGCCGGGGATATGACAGCATGACAACGAGCATTCAAAACCGCAAAATGTGATGGCATGGAAGCAAGAAGCGGGGTCTCGGAGAAGTCTGCAACTGCAACCGCTTCCAAGTCGAGAACTCTTTGCACATCCAAAGGCTCTCCATCTTGACTGTAGTCGCAGCTGCCGGCAACCCGCGCTCCGGTGTCTGTCCCCACACTCAGGCTGCTCATGGAGCGAGTTGGTGCCCGGGGTCGGGGGAACTCACTCTCGAAACTTTTCCGAAGCTTGGTCAGCTCCGATTCCTCGTCCGTGCCGCTGGGGAACTTGCCTGCAAGGCTCTGGGGGCAAATGGCTCCACCATCCTGCCAAGCCAGCAGCTGCAGGTCTGGAAGCGCAACGTTGTCGTCATCACCTCGAGGGCGGCGCTTCGGAGGAGCCTGAGAGCTCTCGTCCCACCAATTGTACACGGCTGTGTTCAACTGGGACTTCACGTCCAGCTGCTCCGTAGACAAGATACCGCAATATCGTAGCACACACTTGCTGTTGGCGAACTGCTGCTCTTGCACTGCTCTTGCAAACTCCGCTTGCCTCACAGCTGTCTGTATCACGCAGTGTTAGAACATAGAACACCACATAATAAACTTGAAATTAATTGTTTTCTTCGTATCGATGGCCGGTTCGGCAAGAGGTCCACGCAGATCAGCCGGTCCTCTTATTTTCCCTTTATGTGTCAACCGGGCGTTCCACATTCAATATATACAAAAGAATATACATATAAAAATTCGGGATATGTCATTCTTCATCCGAATATATACTTCACAACTAATAAAAATTCGGCTCACGCAGCGGCTCACCTTTTTATCGTGATTGGGGCATCGCAGTGCCTTGCCCTGGGCTCCGGGCCCAGGGCGCTTGCTCTTTGTTCAGTTCAACAACATCGCCAAGTTTCATTTGTACAATGGGTATTGTGAAAAGAAAGATGCCACTTGCACCATAGCGAACTTCGCAGCACAACTTGTGCAGGAAACAACCAGGGCGGGCTGGGTGGGACAAAACTTTTTTCCGGACTTATGCCGGAAATTTTTTCTTACCCTCCCACCACCCTGTGGAGCCAACTGACGGCATGGTAAAGATTCATGGAGATTCCTCAAACATGAACTGTCATGTCATGGGTTAAGAGAACTTCAACAAAAGATCACGCCCTAAATTTTGAGTTTGTTTGACAAACCAAAATTTTTGACACAGGGGAAAATAAAGCTTCATCCGCTGTTCGCGGAGTTGCGTCTTATTTTCCCTTTATGTGTCAACCGGGCGTTCCACATTCAATATATACAAAAGAATATACATATAAAAATTCGGGATATGTCATTCTTCATCCGAATATATACTTCACAACTAATAAAAATTCGGCTCACGCAGCGGCTCACCTTTTTATCGTGATTGGGGCATCGCAGTGCCTTGCCCTGCCCCAGTCCTTGGCACTGAGAGCGCCCACACTACTTGCCGCCGCACCACTTGTGCAAATCACTTCAGTCGTGACTTCGACTTTTCAAGAAGGTCCTCGAAGAACTTAGCCGCAGGCCTAACACGCACAGGTGTCGGCAGATTCCACACTCCTCTTGAAAGCGGATCCGAAGGATTACTTGCAGATGGAACTCGATCGTACCAGATCATAAAGCCAAGGCTTTCTTCGATCTCACATACCGCATCGATGACATGCGTTGCAAACTGACTCACAGTCCAGCACTTCACGAAGGCGCCGTGAACACCTTCGTTGTCGGTGAACACAACCACATTCTTGCCCTTAAGAGCTTTGAAGAAACACTTCAGCGCAACATGTACCGCCAAAGCCTCCAGCTCAAAAATGACGGTCTCTTTGACACGCTCAAAAGACGTCATGACTTGGGAAACAAGCGAAGCATCAAGGTTTTCACCGAACCATTGGAGCAAAGAGCCTTTATGGTCATAAGCCATGCCCCCGATGCCACAAAGCTTGCCCTCATCGCTGAAGGATGCGTCCACATACACATGCACGACATTGCCAAGTTGTCGACTAATCAAGCGGCTCTGGTTTGACGAAACCAAACGCCTCAAGAAGCGACACGCCTTAGAAGTGGCCTCGCTCAACCGACCTCCATGATGCCGGCTAAGCTGGTGCAGAGCAACCTTCGCCCTTCGACCGAACAACTGGCCGGAAGCAAACTGCAGCCTACCCCGAAGTTTCTCGCAGTCGGAATGCGACAACCTCTCGGCTAGCAAGACTTCGTCCAAGGCAGCGGTTAACTCCATCACACGTTTTTCAGTGTTCGCCAGCTTGAAGAGTCCCAGGCGAGCCTCCGCCACGTCGATCTTGATTCCAAGGACTTTACAGCACACGTCATAGGGCAGAAGTTTATCTAGCGAAAGATCCCAACCTAGAATCCTGAAAAGCGTGCTGATGACGACCTCCACGTGTCGACGCTCCTCCGGCTTGCAAGCCGATAGAAAATCGTCAAAATAAAAACTCCAGACCAAGGAAAACATTTTTACCCCCAGCCGCCAAATTCCGAATGCACAACGGATGAAGGCAGTCACTGAGGCTTTCGCCCCGAAGGGCATGACCCGCTGCTTGTAGATGACATGCTTGCGAGTGCGGGGGCAGTAAATCACGAAGAAGCTATCCTTTTCGAAACTTTTGTCACTAAGCGGTAGTTGCTTGTATGCGGCACTGAGGTCCCAACATTTGCACACAAGTCCCTCACGCAAGGACTTCAAAGGAGACAAGTGCAACCACATCGCCAACATGCCAGCAACTACGTCCAACGTGTGGACGGGCACTTGTTCACTTTGGGACACAACCGAATTTACCAGCGAACTCAAGTAGTTGTCGATCGGTCTCACTTTGGGACCCTCCTCGGTTTCTCCTTGGATCACTCCGAAGCGATGCGTGACCGTCCCATCAGCAGGGATGTCACTAGCACACACCGGCCCCTCGATGAAGCCTTTGGACAACTCTTTCTCGGTGGCTGCCAGTACACCTCGATCCACGATCTCGTCCCCTGAACTTTTAACCGAAGCCAAAACCTGACCCCTAACTAATCCCGCACTTTTCCTAAGCGTTTCCTCGGCCATGGCTGCCGGGCGGTACTTATTCTTAAAGGCATTAGATCGGGGCAAGGGTCCGGTCAAGTCGAAACCGTTTGACAGATCAGAAATCAAGTCCTCGTCCTCGTGTCCCACACTGTCAAGCATCTCTTTCATCAAGAGCAGCCGCTTGTTGCACAACACTTGACGTCGATGGGAGCTGAAAGATCCCTTGAGCTGTTTTTCGGCAGTTTCCAGCTCCTCAGCGCGAGCAAGCCATTTCTTGAGCATCTCGGTGCGCTCGCGCCCAAGCGTAGCGACATCTTTGGAGTGATTTGCCCGTATGGCCTCAACAAGCTCTGATGGCAAAAGGCTTTCCAAGTGACAAGGATGTTGCACGCTCAACGCTCTCGCCACAAACTCCTCCGGTTCATGGTACACGCCGAAAACGATACTTCCTTTTTGTACTTTTGCAACCCTGGGAGGCACATCACTAGAACCAGAAGAGGGGCCTAAGGGAAAACCCAAATTTTCTAAGAACCCTTTGTCGGCAGTTGCAAGTTTGGTCACTCCCACTGGGGTGTATGCAACGATCACTCCTCTGTCACCTCGCCACGGTTGAGTAGCATGCCAACGCTTCGGTTCGAAGATAAAAGGCCTTCCAACTGCCAAGTCATGAAACCTCCCAGCACGCTGAGTTTTATCGACGACCATCGCAACAGGCCCACCTGCCTCCTCAAGCCACAGTCCACCGCCAGCACAATCATGCGTTGCCATGACCAGGTTTTTTGTCCCTGGCTCATTATGCAAATCTCGATGGGCCTCTGCGCGCACATTGCACAGGTAGCCCACGGCAGAGAAGCAAAAACCCGGAGCGTTATCACGAACATGCTTGCAAAGCACGGCAGTGCACCAAGGCATATCTCGTGTCAAGTTCTTGCAGCCCGTCATGGGCCCATGAGCATAGGCTCCACACAGAAACTGATTGGACTGTTCGTCACAGCTCCCCCTGGCTCTGGTCTGATGTTTTTGCGGCAACATGTCCAGAAGAGTTCGCATCTCCTCTTGGCTGAAGCGAGTGTTCCACTGCAACATGATGCAAGCAAGCTTCTCAGCTGGGTGAGCATCTTCGGGCGGAGCAGAAAGGCTCGGCAATACGCGGCCAGCCTGAGCTGCACTCAAGTTGTCCGGAGCATCCTCTGACATTTCCCCCGGCACCGTGAGGATGCGAAGGATTTTGGAACCTTGTGGCACCGACGACACAAAGCACGGGTCAACATTTGCAGATGCAGGTACCTCCCACGATGCAGGGAGTTTGCAGCCTACTTGAAGACCTTGCATAGACGCAGCAGGGAAGCTGCCACGAACATTCACAACATGCTTGAACTCCGGAACCAGAGGAAGGACACGCTTGTTGCTCTGCCACCCAGCAACAGCTCTGGCCGCTGCAACTGTGGCTGTTGTCTGACTTAAGTCAGTAGGCAGAGGCTTGGCCCCCATGTCAAGTAGTTGATCTTGCAGAAGCTGTGACATTGCCTTGCACAAACCCCAAGGAAAATCCAAATCACGGTCGAACTTGCAGCCCACACCCTTAGACCAAAACTTATGTACATGTCCACCGGCGCATGGACGATGCAACTCCAAGAATTTTGGTAGTGAGTGCAGCATCCGCATGGCCTTCTTGAAGGGCGATTCGAAGCTGCAAAGGTGAAAGTGCGTTGTGAAGAGAGGAACTTCCTGAAGCAAAAGTCGCAAAGGCTTGGTAGCCCACATAAAACTTGACTCTGGGTTGCAGATACTGAAAAGGACTCCGCGTTCGTGACATGTTTTGCAAGCTGCAGCCACAGCACGCAGGTAAGCATTGGCATCACTCACTCTAGTACGATCGGCTAGCCCCAACCCTGGAACTCCGTCAGGATGGGTTTCGTTCCGAAGGATTGCAGGGGCTCCTGCAAATTGACGCAATCTGGCACGGCTTGTAGTATTACTGGGCGGATAGAAATGAACATACATCAAATTTTCTTCGGTCAAAATCTCCTGGAACTGCTTGCGACCCGACTCTGTACACAAGTCAACAACAATTCGTGGTGCACAGCACTTGCCGGCTGTTCTATCAACGGAAAAACTGTTATCAAGCTGACGCTGCTTGAGGCATGCAGTCAATCGCCCCGACCCCGGCGAGACCTCCAAGACGAGACATTCATCTAAAGAGACCCCCTTAACCCTAGCCATCACTTTTTGAAGATAAGACTCAGGCTCCGGTACAGCCGAGGCGGCTGGCTGTCACTTCCGGTGCTTGGGCAACGGATGCGCCTTGAAGCAATTTGGCTCGCAACACAAGTGCCAGCCGCGAGGACACTCCTCGCCGTCAGCGGCATTGGGACACCCATCAATGTTGTATGCCCAACACAGCCTCTTCCCTTCGTTGGTCTCGCTGGCTTTGCCGACCAGCTGCTTCGGCATTTTGATGAATTTGGCTCCTTTGACTCCTGGCTGATCCTTGCCTTTGCCCTTTCCTTTGCCCTTGCCATTCTTTTTCCACTTGGTCGAATCATCGGTCTTTTTGGCATCATCTGTCCACTTCCGCTTGTTATCATCGGTTTCGCCACCTTTCAACGGCAACAAGTGGAAGCTGATGCTGGGATCCTGAAGAATGTTCTCAAGGGCTCGATCCAGAGGCAAAGCCCCATCAGGCTGACGCTTGATCGAGGGTAGGCTTTCGGCAATGCGAGTGAAAGCTGCCCTGTCTGCCCTAAGCACTTGTGCCACCGAAATCTTTACGTAAGTAGGCGGTGGCAACTCCTGCAGTCGATGGATCAACGACGAGTGATACCGATTCATGGTGTCATAACTGGCGCACTTGACTAAATCAAATGCTAAGGCTCGCCGCCTCAGAGCCTGCGTAAGCTCAAGCTCGGTCCCTGTCGTGCAGGTTTGATGAGGCACCTTGTCTCTCACCGTCACACTGTTCCCGTCGATGGTGAGCTCCTTCCCGGGCTTCTTACCCTGAAGTTCGGACTGTCGGGTCGGAAACCTGTCTGGCCCTAAGTACGTCAAGGAATCCGCGGACAACATGGCGTACACCAAGTCGTAAGAGGCATGGCTAGGCTCTTCGACTCCACGATGCAAAAGGCCTGTGATCCTTGCACGCTGCTCTGTGATGCGCTCTTCCCTCTCTGCTGTGGCAAGCGTCGAAGGTGCTCCAGAATCCCCCCTCTGAACCCGAGTTTTTAACTCTTGGACTACGAGGGTATGGGCCTCAAAGATCAAGCGCTTTGCTGCAGCCATCGTCCCTGCCGTGATGGGCGTTGCCCCGAAGAGCCGCTGTACCTGATCGTCGCTCGGTGACTGGCCCGGCGGAACTGTTGCAAAAGCTAATTTGGAAAGCGTATCCACTCCGGTCCCCGTCATCGTGGCCACATTGGCTTGAGTCAAGCCAATCTCTTTAGCCCTTGATGCGAAGGCCGCTGTAGATTCCGTTAACGAGCCCATGATCCCTCACCAAGTCACCAGCACAGACTACCGAGCACAAGTTATGTCAAAACATGAAGTCACATGTCAGTTCACAACTCGCTCCTAACATGTGTCTCCGTCATGTCTCTACTCATTCGAAAAGCACACTCATGCCTGTTCACCAATGGTCTCCACTTGAGCAAAACTTCGAGCATAACATAGCTCCTCAGAAACTTGCACTCGCAACCGGACTTGACTGCCAGATGAACTTCATCTGCTCTTCAAGCGCACTTCGCTTTCTTTTGCCCCACGTGGACAAACTCGATCACTTCTCTCTACAGTTCATGATCTGCTGCAGCGCGACATTCAAGCTGCCAACATCTCTAACAGGACGACCCGAATCGCACTGCTTGCACTTCCGCAACTCAAGGAAAGGCACACCACTGACTTCTACATGATCATTGGTGAGGGCCCTCCCACAAACAAAAAGCCCATCTGAACTCCCAGCACTCATGAGATGCACAACACCAGTCCTAGAATGTTTGTACATGGTGGCCTCAGGCCTCCAGGTGCTAGGCTTGCTCGCTGGATGTCGGAAGTCCTCGCCCTTGACCCATTCATCTCCGGACTCAGGCTCCGACTCACTGGAGCTGTCGCTCGATTCACTCTCGCAGTCCTGTTCTCCGCAAGCTGCAGAGACCCCTGAAGGATTGGCAACAGCATCGACCTTCTCGAACGACTCAGTGGTCCTGCCTAACGATCTCTCCTCATCAGAAGCCGCACTCACAGGCACGATCGGTGATGCAGTTTCGTCTTCTGATACTTCGACTTTAACAATCGGACGATCGGCGAACCGTCCCGATCTGCTCAAGTCAGGCATGAACACACCTCGCCTGATGCTTCCTAACATTTCGGTGTATTTCAAGAGGGCTGGCGCAAGGTTGTCGCGCCCATAAGCATCCAAGGATCCGTCGCCACTGCTGTGGTGTCCTAATCGCAGGCGGGTATGCTTATCCATTCCAAACTTAGAGCACCAGCTCAAAGAAGTCCCCTTGATGGCATGCGAAGTCGACGACTCAGGCACATCACACCCGGCCTTGTCAAGTAACGCACGCATCCACTTGGTGACCTCTCCTGAATCGACGCATCGTCGAGTCCAGCCCCCCTTCTGATCAGGCGCAGGTAGCACGGGTCCTACTCGGGTGGAACTAAAACCCAAACCTACCTCATCTGCAACCTTGGCCCATGTCACAGCCCAAGCCGAAGATGTAACACCCCGCGCGGGCGCCACCAAAGGCATGCTGAAGCCTGTATGCGCCACAGCATTGGCCGTCTTGTGATCTCGGGTCTTGCACTCAATGAAACCTTCGCCTCCGCTTACAAGTTCACTGAAGTCAAGGAACCAACCGAAAGTCTTTCGCAAATCCGAAACTCGGCTCCTGGAAAAGATCCCAAACAAGATGGCACCGCAGGCATAACGATCAAAGCTATTGACCGATTCATCTTCAAGCAAACGTTCCAGGGCTGCAACATATGCCACAAGCAGGACTGTGGCCTGCTTCCGCTCTGCCTTGGTCAACTGTGCCTGACCAATAAGACCTTTACTCCAATGGCTCCACACAGTGCTTTGCTTTGGTCCTATGACGGACTCATCGACAGCAATGCCGACCACATGTATTGCAAAATTCACACACTCCTGGAAACTGGTGAAAGCCCCGGCTGGCCGCTTCTCTCTCTTCAGCTGCTTCAAGTATCCATCCAGATGCGAGGACTTGAAAGGGAAAAGGTCACTGCCCCTGCATTCCTTTCGCCCCCATGAGAGGTATCCCATGAGGGCCGATCCCCTTTTCATGACTGTACTGCCACTCTTTCGCCCAAAGAGTTCACGCAAAGTTTCAATTGCGTCATCAGTTTTTTGGATGGCAACCGTTTCTCCGATATATGACGAACCAGGGCACTCAGTAAGAATGACCAGCCACTTCTCAAGAGCACGTCGCCATTGAGCCTCCTCCTTTTCCTCGTAACTGTCGTAGGCCCTTGAAGAAATAGCAACCCTGAAACACTCCCCACTCTCAGGCATCTGTCGCGCACGCTTTGCCGGTGGCTCGGCAACAAGGTCTGAAGGCTGGATACTGGAGCTGGACACAGCAGGCACTGGTATGTGCTTCGGGAGACCTGCCAAAAGCTTTGTTACTGAATCATCTTCTCCAAAGACCAAACTCATGCTCTCCTGCTCCCAAGGCAAAGGAATGTCTACTACACTCCTTCCCAGAGCAAGCACGGAATCCCCCAAAGCATCGTTAAGCAAGCTGCTGTCAGCACAATTGACCACTTCCCTTGCAGACTCTCGATCGCGCACACAAGCTTCTCGCTGCTCACTATCTATTTCTGAAGGCACGAAAGCATCAAGATGTGAAGGCAAAGGCCGCCCTGTCCCTGCCTCCTCAAGCTCCTCGCAAAGACGCTCAAGATGCTTATCAAACCCCAACTCACTTTCAGCAGGCAGCGGCTTGCCGGTGCACGCATCAGACTCTTCAACACCTGGGGCTTCCTGACCCTGCCCCCGTAGCTCTGAAGCCACAGGAGAGAAGTCAGGAGCTGCTTCCATCTGCCTCCTAAGGAGGCGTGCACGGAGCCCTAGAGGCAACGTCGAAAAGGGCCAGGTTGAAAGTCGAACCTGTTACGCCTCGGGGTCCCCGTTCGACACAAAACTTTTTTCCGGACTTATGCCGGAAATTTTTTCTTACCCTCCCACCACCCTGTGGAGCCAACTGACGGCATGGTAAAGATTCATGGAGATTCCTCAAACATGAACTGTCATGTCATGGGTTAAGAGAACTTCAACAAAAGATCACGCCCTAAATTTCGAGTTTGTTTGACAAACCAAAATTTTTGACACAGGGGAAAATAAAGCTTCATCCGCTGTTCGCGGAGTTGCGTCCTCTTTCAGGTCCATCCCGTCCATGTAACCATCAAGGGTGCCCGTGTGAACGGGGATGCCTTTCCTCAGTTGTAGTGCCAACACAAGCACGGCCGCACGAACAATGCACAGACGGAGCACGCAGGACACTCTACAACACTCAGCGTCAGAGAGAGAAACGAAAACAAAGAGCAGAGTCTTTCAAGAGGGAGAGAGAGAAAGAGAGAGGCAGAGAGTCAGAGACTTCATGTGTGTGTGTGGGGGGTATATTATATTATATATATATATATATATATAGTAGACCGAATTACATATTATGTAGTAACCATGTAGATAATGCGCACACATATTGCGAGGTCGAGGGTCCGGGTTTGGCTTGGGGTCAAAACTCGTGTGTGTGTGTGTGTGTGTGTGTGTGTGTGTGAATGTGTGTGTGTGTGTGTGTGTGAGTTACATCGAACGCAGGTTCCAGGCTTCGTGATATTTGGGGTTCAACTCTTATTCTACCAACAGAGCCAGCTACCCCACCCAAAGCTTCCAAAATAGATGCTGGCAACAAACATGCAGGACTTAGATGGCAGCACATGGTTTCGACTTTTGTCGGGGGTGCATGATTACTTCGGGGATTCTGTGACTCTCCTTAACGCTATAAAGTCTAAAGTCTAAAGTAAACCTACGCCAAACCCTGATGTCTACCAATCAATTCATTCCCTGGACACCAACTTCAAACCCCCTCGCCCGGATAGTCGCATGCCTTGATGGAAGACTAAACAGCCATAGGGCAGACAGTCTTTAAATGGAAATTACCTCTAGTCATACATTGTCCTTTCGGCACTCGCAAGACGCGTCAGAGCCAAACAAACGTGGTACGGCACAGCAGCGACCCATACAACAGACTTCCAATGTGCTACCTTGCCCATTGCTACCCGGACGCGGCAAAGCAACAAGACATGAACCGAGTATGAATCCGCACAGCCAGCAAAATCCTCCTGATGCCTGAGTTCGACAGACCGTGCGACAACACGCAAGTGGATTGCATGCCCAGGACAATGGATTTGCTCTGCCGCTCGTCGGAATCTGCATTGACCTTTGTCAATTAACAAGTGGTGTCCTCAATCCTCCTCGCTTGTCTGAAGCAGAACCCTTCACAGACCCTTCACAGTCACATTGAATATCGGACAACGGGGGAGGCCGATGATTTCCGAGGTCGGGAAGGGCACCGGAAAGCCTGGGCTTCACCCTGAAATTGAAAGCTTTCAACAGCAGCAACACATAATCTAAGGACTCCCGACGGCCGAACAACTAACTAACTCTAAGCGCCTTTAATGTCGCTCACTGACTGACCAACAAACTAAGTGAAGGAACTTCCAAGCCGGCAAGCACCTGAGCAACCAACGCAATACTCACTCAGAAAGCCACTCCCTCATACTGAGCTCTTGTCACTGGATCCGAAAGTAATACCTGCCGAACCCCAAACCGACTCACTGTTAACTGTTAGTTTGGTCCGAGCGACTGCTCAACCCTGCTCGAAGGGCTTGGCTTCGAGACTTCGTCGTACCCCACAAAGTCCGAGACCTTCAACAGGGCAAACGGCCCCAGCCGACCGTCCAGAACGGCTTTGCTCTTGCTTGTCCACGGCGTAGCTCCGAAGGAAGCCATCGCTGCCGCATGGCAGTTCTGAGTTAGCGGGCGTTGGTCACTGGTGTTCCCTGTCGGAGGCCTTTCGTAAAGCATCACAACCGGCCTCTCAAGCGAAACCTTTGCCTTGATAAGGAGATCTTCGAGCGTTCTCCGGTGCTTCACGAGCGTTACACCCTGCAGCGCCTTGTGGTGCTGGGGCATCTGAATGTGCCTGATGTTGCTCGAGGAATTCGAAAGCAACGCGGCAAGCACGGCTATCACCTCCTGGACATACAAAGAGTTGGCGGGCATGAGAGTGAAGTCGCAGCAGACGATCACATACCTCGACTTCTTTCGCTCAACCACGCACTCACAAACTGGAAAAACTAGATACCTCACTAAGTAGGCGAACTATCTATGTAGCTAAGCAACCAGGAACAACAAACCAACCAGTCAAGCAACCAACCAACCGACCAACTAACCATAATTGTTTAACTAC